TTTTCGCTTCTATTGACGATTGAGTGCTGTTTGTCTGTTATTTCGGACCGCCTGCGAATAGCCTATTCTGTAAAAAAAATGACAAATTAAATAGTATGCGTTTTTCGCATTGATTCTTGATGCCCTTATAAATTCATTTTTTAAAGAAAATCTGCACAACAATATTCTTGTCCAGTTGCAACGTGCATCTTCTAGTTTTCACCCTGACTGTAATTGAAGATAGCTTCCTCAAGACGTCAGTTTTTACAGCTCAAACAATTCTTTTAGTCCCCTTCCCTCCTGCCACATATTTTTGTGAGACAGTGGCCACAGAAGCAAGTGCATCCTGTTACTACTGTGTTACTTCTTTGCGCAAGATGAGATTCATTGGCCACGGCAAAGTCCAAAATTAATCGATCTAGTTCCCGAGTGAAGAGAACTGTTTTCTGTTCTGTTGTGTCAGCTAACAGGAAACGGAAATGCCAGGCTGGCAGATGGATTAAGGTCATTCTGACGACGGGAGGTGGCTGTGCAACCGGATGCTGTCTTCTTTCCGTTTGTGGCACGCGTACACACTCCGCAGTCAGTTGTCAGATGTCGTGCATGTCGTGATTTTCCACCCCAGATTGTCGTCCTTAAATTGGGCTGCTGAAAAATTTCCGACAGGTGTCGTGTTCTACCGTAGTTAACGTCTCTGGTTTGCTCTGGTGACGATCCGAATGCTCTAACTAGATAGAAGCCATGTCATAATCCTCTCTTTATCTACCTGCAATGTAACGAGGATGTTGTTGGACTGTTCAGATGACCAATTAAAAAGGTGCCGTCTATTTCTACCAAGATCGCAATAAGAAGCAGTTACTCGGTTGCGGTGGGAGGAGAGGAGAGGTGTATGTCGCGATGAGCACAGATGAGAACTGAGTGCAAATTGACCGCTTCCCATAGCCAGTTACTCGTTTCGCTTCCCATTCCATGTAGGTCATATATTTTCAATCAAAATAACTACTTAGATTTGCAATTATAGACCTTAAACAAAATAAATGTGGAAATTATAGCTTTTTAATTTCCCCAAAAACTAATATCTAACTAGGAGTAGTTCAGTATAGTCAAGGGTCTGCAAGTGCGGACCGAAATTTGATATGAATATTTGGATCGAAATCCATCATTCGCTGCGGTACAACCATGTAATATTCACATGTTGACAACAAGCAGTTAATAGTACAACTTAAAGCATTTTTTCCCTGGTGCAAATTTGAAGGTTGCATAAACAGCAGAATTTAGTGGATCCAAAAATGTCGAGAGTGCTCGTCAGCTGCTTCCTTTCGCTGCATAGCATGACTAACCTATAAGGAAATACAAATTTGAATTCGTACAGAAAATGTCAGCAAGGTTACAGAACCTGGTCACGAAGTTTAATCAGTAAAGTAAACGTGTTAAAACACTGTGGGAAGTAAAAGTGGGGGGAAACGTTAAATCTAAAAGTTGGGCAGGGATATGTGTACATCAGGGAGCCGGAAGTTACCAGGACAATGTTAGGTTAACCACCTGCTCTAACTGTTTATGTAGGTCGGGTTTTGACCGCTGTATATAACCTGCCTCCAGGTAGTGGAAGGTACGAGTTTTTCGTGCTTACTTTACTGATAAGCCTTCATGAGCAGGTTCTATATCCTTACTGACCTTTTCTGTACGAATCCAATTTTGTATTTCCTCATACTTTAGTCATGTTATGCAGCGAGAGGAAGCAGCTGATGAGCACTCTCGACATTTATAGATCCACTAAATTCTGCTGTTTATCGTTTTCCCCATCCACCAAAGAAGAGGAAGAAGAAGGTACGAGGACATG